TGACTAATATGAGTAAGAGAGCATCTAGTAAATAATGCTTCATAGTCGTGCACTGAAAAATGAAAATAAAATAAAATATAATGTCGTGTTCTGTAAGTATTTTCAGTGTTTCAGCCAGGCACCAGAAGCTATAGACTGACAATGTTTGAAATATACTGAACAGTTATTCATACAAAGGAAACCAAACCAAAACAAAAAGAACATTAGTTGTCTCAGACTCAATAAATATTTCAAGGTTTTAGAAGCCAGCATGAAAACAGAACAACTGTCAAAACGAGAAATCTAAAAGTTGATGCTCACAGTTTCTGATAACCAGTCAGCTCATCTTGAGCAAATTCCAGAGTAAAACCTCATCGAAGTGTTCTTGGATGTTCTGCGGGCAGCTGGTTCAGATCATGAGAATGTACTGAGCCACTGTAATCCTGGTTTGAGAATTATCTTGTGGTATAATAAAATCTTAGAAAGAAAATATTATGAAGCCCCTGTAATTAATTTGCACTCCAAATAAGATATTGTTCCACGTTAAAGACAGATTTCATATTGATTTCATATTTCCTACTGAAGGAGGGAGGCTGTAGGGGGAGAGAAAAGGAAGAAAATGCTTTCAAAACCACTGCTCCTGCTCATATTTGTGCTCGAAGCCAATAAGACAACTCATGTGTGGAAGGGTAAACAACTGCATAATTCTTTTCAGGACCAAGACTGTACTGGCAAAACTAACAACTTTGATGACAGGCTTCCCAGAGAGGCCAAGAGCTGAATGAAGCGTGAGCTGCCCTCATAACCTCGGACTCAATGGACGTCAACATGTTATCCATGGAGTCGACTGAGCCCACAGCTTATTCCTCTGGGGTCAAACAAAAGTGTACAGGAAAATCTGCTCCATGAAGGCTATGTGATTTCTATATAGGTAAAATTTCCAGAGAGGTTCTCACATCTACATTAAAAGTTTTAAAAAACTTCTTTTTAAAAAAAGTTTTAAAATATAGAAAGTATCTATTCTTTCCAGCTCAGAGCTACAGCACACTGTTCAAAGGAGTTTATGTAGCTAGTTCCTCTCTGCTGAATGTAATATATTGCAATGGTCCGTAGGCAAAGTCTTATGGATAATTTTTTCAAGCAACCTTTCAGCAGTGCCACACATCTTTATCATAAAATATTTTAATTAAAAGCTGCAATTTAGCTTTCACATGGCATGAGCTCAAGTAGGATCAAGTTGTTGATTGTATTTTTTAAAGATGAATGTGTTTCAATTAGATATTTATCCATTATATATATATTAAACTTCAGTAAGAACCAGATGTTGATCTGGAGTAAAGTGACAAAGCTTACTTGAAGTAAAAGTATTTATTGCACTACCTATCAGCTGGTCCTAAATGTTTCTGAAACTCTAATGACATTAGAAGACATATACAGCCTATCTTTTTTAATCTAATTACTTTAATGCTAGAAAGCACTGAAATCAAAATGGTATCTAATCAAGCACTTAGTGTGCTATTTTTTACATCAAACAGCTACGGGATAAAATACATATAATACTTAAATATTTCTTAGAGCAATGGCTAAAAATCAAGGAATGAACACAGATGAATGCTTTAACCATTCACGTTCATTCATTTTCCTAGTGAATCTCTGAACACAAAACAGAAAAAAGTCAGAAAGGACCAGATGCAGCTGCAATACAAATGGGTGGAAGGGAACGGAGGATGGAGGGAGCTTTGCCTCCAAATTGAATATGCACATCAAGATAATGAGTTATTATATTTTTTCCCCACAGTTGTTTCACGGTTGTTCCCCCACATTGTTTCAGAGAAAATGGAAAGCGTTTATTCTCTAGGCTGATGGATGTAATTAAAACTTGTTTTAAGAACGAGTACAGACAAACCCATTTCTTAAGACATTAAAAATGACAGGCATACTTAAAGACAACAATAATTTTACTGAAACCATCAGAAAATTAAAACATTATTTAAAAATAATAAGCTGCTTGGCTTTGTTTTTCACTAGTGTTTCTCTTAACACAAGATTTTAATTGCAGATTAGTTTTATTCTTCTAGTCTTGTTGATAGATTTGAGGCGAGTGACATACATCATTCATTGTATTATGTAGGGGATCACATTTAAAACAAGAGCTTTGCCTGACCGAGCTACTACAGCCTGTCTGATTGTTGCGGAATTGTCATTAAATGGAAATGATGCGCGGGAATGTTGAACTTAATGTTATGTTTCCAAATATCATGAATAATATTACAGTAGCTTTAATGAATTTCATGGGAGAAAAATGTCATTAAACAAAGCAACAATATTAGCCCTGGTGCCCTGGCCAAATTCCAGTCTGGTTAATTGCATTCTGACACCTACTATTTCTCAGTTGTTTGAATTTGGTATGTTTGTGTGCCTCGCTGGTTGTTCATTGATATGTTAATGCCATACCTTGTCGGACCATTGCTGTCTGTCACCCCAGAGTTAGCTGTCTATCCCTCTTGACCACCCAAGAGCTTTTAATGAAGCTGTAACTACAGTACATGTCCTTGAAAAGATTCCTTTCAATCTACCTTCCCACAGTTCATCAAGTTACTTAGATATTGCTTAACCTAACAGGTAAGCACAGATATAACTTATTTCAGTGTTTGTTAAGCATACAGCACACCATCACTTCCCAGTTCTGAAATAATGAGCTGCCGAAGTCCATTAACATGCGCTTAAAGCTGGGCACAGAGATGACCTCCCACACGTTAGAGCATTAGCTGAGGTCAGAGAGGCACTCTGAGCAGGATCTCCTAATCACCTCCACTTAACCATGCTTTGCTTTGAATTGTGGAGTGGTCTCTGTGAAGGTTACCTGAACTATGGATGAAATTTAAGTGGAGATATGCTCCAGAAGCACAACTTACACACCTCAGCACCGGCTAATCATGGAGACAATGGCCCTGGAGTAGAGCTAGTCCAAAGTTAAAAATAAATTCCCAAAATGTGGACTTCAGAATAAACTGTTTTGTTCTACAGTTCTACTCCTGTTGGCTCATGCTACTTGCTCATGTAGACGTAGTCATATTCAAGTGCTTTATTCAAAGGAGCAGATCTGCATTGTATTATCTTACTAGTCTTGATGTAAGGGTGTCCCATGGCTCAAAGTCTGGATTGCAGAATATTTGAGAAAACCCTTCTGACGTTGTCATGTTTGCTGACAGTTGTAGAGGGGTTATGGAGGAAAAGATTCTGAAGACCTAAATCCTGGTTCATTGAAAGCTTTTAATAAAAGTAGGACTACAATTTGGAACTGCCTTGATACACATTCAGGCAGGATCTTCAGTGACAACCTTGTATAACGTTTTTTGTGTGTCTGTCACATCTCAGAGACATAATTTCTAATATCATTCCCAAGAACCTCCCCATGCCCTTTAATCTTGAGCGCTGTTTGTGACATCCAATTCAGACATTCACGCACACTAATTTTCCTTTTTGGGAGACCAGACAAGATCATCAAGGAGCATGTAAAACATTTAAATCAGGCATATATTTATATATGCATTGACAGTGATTAAAATATAAATGCCCAACAAAACACAAGATCAGAAAGAGGTGGTGCCAAATATAACTGTCCTCCAAGAGCCTTCATATCACTTAGAGAATAGAACATTCCTGAAAACCTCATCTATAGGTAACTGTAGGTTATCAATCATATCCCATTTCTGTTGGGATCAGGTGCAATGTCCTGTTCCAACAGAACAACTGAATCCACATCCCTCCCCCATCTGGTGTATAAGTACCCCAGAAGCTGCACAGATTGTACTCCATGTTGCACATGGCACTGTTATTTGAAGTCTCAAGCTGCGTGTTAAACTGCAACTGGATTGTCACCATTAAGGTTTTGTCACAGTATGATTTAGGGAGAAAGCCAATGATCTGGAAACAGATGTGAAGTTTTAAATGTACATCATTAGATCTTCAGGACTAATTTCAGGCTTAACACTGCCTTGGATTTTCTTCAGGTAGAAGAAAGAAGACAAAGAAATGGGGAGAAGAGTGACAAGATAAGTGGAAAAGAGTAGACAGGATCATGTGAGCACAGATGCTAATGAACTGAAAAACACCATTTTATTTAACTGTTACATATGTCTGCACAGAAGTCAGCCATTTCAAAGCAATTGTAGTACATATAGAGGGTCTCTTAAGATTCCCATATAGGAAAATCTTTTTTTTCCCCTTTTTGAAGCTTCTGCTTAAGATTAAGGATATTTTCCATTCAGTACCAGGTCACAACCAAGCCATTCCTAAGAGGGTCTCTCTCTAACTCACTCCCTTGCTCACACACACATCAACACAAACAGCAAGAAGGAAGCGGAGAGGAAGCAAAAGGAAAAGGGTGAGCAAAGATTACTAAAGACTTTGAGAGCGCCGTAGTCAATGCCCTCATAGTCAAAGAAATCTACTGCTCTATGGGTGGTGGTGGCTCAAACCTTGTATACAAATCGAAGTGAATTCAAGTCTTGCATGTTCCCATCTTACCTGAGCACTCTAATAACACAGCCACTGGCTTTTCAGGCAAAGATAATCGTATATGCGTTTATCCATTTTAACTAGAATTTTTTTCAGTCTGAGTTTGAGAAACCTTTAATTAAATCTGGTACATTTATGAAAAATTCTGTATTTAATGGTTGGAAACTTCCAAAGAAAACGGCTTTTTTGCCACAAAGATCCTGACTGAACCTATTTCCATGTTGGATATATATGCAACTTCCAATGAAAATAGTGGGATTCCTTTTCAAGTAAAAATGAAGAACATTTGGATGTGATTGGCGAAGACTACTTTAAGATCCATAATATACGAATGAAAACTACTGCTAAGTCCTTAATTTATTACCAATCCTAGTGTGTTACTCTTTGATTAAACCTCATCTTGTGCTAATAATTCTCGGTAGTTCTGTACAACATATGCTACAGAAATCCCTAAGGTAGCCAAGGAAAACCAAGCCAAAACCAGCAGAGAAGTTGCTTACCTGTCTGAACTCTTCAAGATCTATTTTGTTTCCCACCAGCACTAAGGGGATGTCATAGGTGTGCCGGACACGATAAATGAGTTCCTTAAACTCAGCAGCTTCTTGAAAGGATTGGCGGTCTGTGATGGAATAGCAGATAATGAAGCCTTCTCCGCCTCGCATGTATTGGTCCCTCATGGCTGTGAATTCTGCCTGTGGAATAGGAAGAACATGCTTAGTAATTTGCAAACAAAATTATCCATCTGTAAATAACGAACTTGCTGAAAACTTCCCCCATTCCCTACATAATTCTGCATTGCTTGTTTTCTGTTTCAAATACTGCTTGCTGAAACTTGTGCATCCTTCTGGGGTCATCATCCTGGATAATACCCCACTAGGATTTCTCTTAGGACCTTTTTTTTTTTCCTTTTCCCATCAAGGGAACTCTGTCCTCTAAGAATGTGAACTTATTATGCCAACGCCTGCATACAGAAAATAGTGTCTCGTGTTTCTAGAACTTTCTGCAGCACTTTTGGTAAACATAGATGACTTGCAATTGAATGAATACTAACAGGTGTAAAAGAAGAGCTATATTACTATCTAGGGATGGGAGACAAACTCCTTATTATGCACTCACTTCAAAAGATCCATAATATCAAAAAGACATTCATTGACTCCCACCAGCTTTGGAATAGTGCCTAGTAAAAGAGGAATATAATCTGCAAAAAGTTCTACTCTTTCAAATGCTCTCAGAGAAGCTGGGGGTTTTAGTTCAGTGTGGGATAATACCATTAAATGAAAATTAACAATTTCAAATAGTGTGAGAATTCTCCTCCTGCATTTTCCTCTATTTCTGTATGTATTTATTGTCACAGCAACATTTCTGGTTATCGGTATGGTTTTTTAGAAGGATTTAACAACTGCCACATTGTACAAAAATCAAGATTTAGTTTTCAAAAACTAGTCTCAGGCAACTGTGGCTTGAGAATATGTTTTAAAGCCAGTTTTTTTTTTCAAGTTTGTTTGCTCTTCTTGATCACAGCCCAGAATAACCCAATACCATGGCAACAGTCGGTCAGGATCAGAATCCTCCTGACAGAATCAGTTCTCCCGAGATATTAAGATGCAGGAAGGTCTGATAAAGCAAGGAATACACATATCAACATTGGACCATTTCTATGAGCAGCAGGATGCAATATCAAGTCCTGTATTTTTAACTCTGTTTAGAATTTAGGCTAGGATTTTTAAAACAGTTTAGTTTATATATATATCCTCAGTTCTTGCTGAAAATTGAAGGGAAATGAATTGCTTATGCTCTTTTAAAAGTCTCAGCCTTAAATCTTTCTCAATAGTCACTCATATTGATTGATAATACTTCCTGTGAATAGACTTTCATGTTGACCATTATCATTTATTCATGATGTATCTTTTACCCAAGGGCTTTCTTATATATCATTCAAAATATTTCACCTGCTACAAGAAAAAGTTCATAGACTAAGCTCCAAAATAGCAGACTAATAGGCAATTTAAGGGTAGGATTCTGCTTTGAGACTTACTCGGAATTTCAAAATGTCTAAACTATCACCACTGGCATCCCAGGAGAGTTTATTAACTACCAAGCTACAGCATAGAGTGGATCAGGCCATATTCTATCCCATCCTCTTGAAACTGGATGTGTAAGAAGTAGGGCACCAGTGGGGAGAAACACAGATGTCAAACAAAAAGGATTCGACGTTCTGCTGGTTCTGGCAAGACAGTGAATGGAAATCTGTTTCTGTTCCCAGGTCTTTGCCTGCCACCTACATTAGATAACCACTCTATTAATAAACAATGCGATACCAAACTGGAGACCATACCCAAGGTCTCCAAATTATGGGTAGGGAGTGTTAATGACTAAACACAGAGACTCCCTCTCCCTTAGCCACCCTCAGATCCCAGGCTTTGCTGCCAGAACAAGGGTCTCTCCGCACGCCTCCGTGCCCCTGATTTTCTTCTCCTTGCATCAATCACCTAGAACTGTTCTGCACCATGATTAGTAGGCTAGTCTCCTTTGTAGGAGGAGCTGAACAAGGCCAGGGTCCCTTCAGGCTGAGCACACAATGGAAACCTTATGTGGAGTTAAACTTGTGGATTAAGGCTCCTGAATTTAGCTGTCTATGTGTGACTGCAGGCCATTACCTAAACTCCCGTTGTAGATAATGGTAAACTAGACCATGCAATCAATGGACTACAGATTGCTTCTGCTGATGAAAAATAATTCTCTCTTTAGTTATCTAATTATCTATTTCTTGTTTATCTATTTTTGGTTTCAGAGTGAGCTGAACATTTATACAACTGAATGGAGCCCCTAGCTCGCAGGTAGACACCTAAAAGTAAATGTTTTGGTATGGAACCTAAGTCCCAGCCCAGATGACCTGTCTTCCTGGGCTAAAGATTTCATAAATACACTGTATGATTAATCTGCACAGCCTTTTACAAAGAATGAGCTCTGCTTAGTGAGTTGATCCCCCTCTAGGAAGTGCTCAGAACTTTTTACACTCATTTATAGCCATTTATGGCAAACCAAGAAGGAATAAGGTCACATATCCCTGTTTAAGTTACTCACAATAAGTGACTTTCTGTAGCATGAGGGCTCCCAGGATCACTCCCCAGGAACGCTTAATGACTTTCCTTGACTGCCAGGAGACTTTGGGTTCCTAATTTTACACACTGTGAATCATTCCAAAGGGAAAAAGTGCTCAGCTTTTAGGCACTGCCATTCTTGAGTTGGAGTCATTTACCTACGCGTTCTGGTTCATGTCTGGGCATAATTATGAGTTTAAGGATATGAATTAATTTACTTCTGCAATTTTTTATTATGACATGTTATTGCTGCTGATATATTGGACTAAACAGCCACAATACTGTAGTGTCATGTTTGCAGTGATCCATTTTCAGAGGTATTAATTATTCTATGCAAACTAGATTGGGAATATCTACTCGGTTTTCTGTTATTAACTCAGTCATTTCCTTTCTTATTTTTTTGATGTTGACTTTCACTTCTCAGTTTTTTCCCCTTGGCATGATTCTTCATTACAGAGTCAAGGACTCCAAGGTCAAACATAAATAAGCCTTTTCTTGGATTTAAAAAAAAAAAGTGGGGTCTTTTTATTCTGTTCACCAAGACCCCCAACATAATAATATATACTAAGAAAAAGAATAAATACAATTTCCAATAAACATACTATAACTCTTGTAATGATGTATGCATATTATATATACAAGACAAAGGACTAAGATGTAATTAAATCTCTTTGTTCATTTTTTAATTCAAGCCCTACTCCAGATTTCACAGTTTACATGTATCTCTACAGTAAGCAGAATCAAAATCCAAGTTCACCTAGGTTTTATGGATGTTCAGAGGTAGATGGAGATAGACCCAAAGGTTTTACGGTTTTTTCGGTGGTTTTATTTTTTATCTTGCCTGATTCTCTTATAAAATAAGCAATAGTGTACCTGTGCAGCTGGCACACTAATATCTTCTTTAATTGTTTTCTGCTGTAAAAGTAGCTTTTTAAAAAATTATTCAGGAATGCTACTGGATGTCATTTGTTACTCAATAGGGGGAAAATATGAAACATTCCCAAGTCAGTAAATGCCAAAGGGAAGAGGCAGAAGGAAATCACACTTCCTCAAAAGGAAATAAATCTGAGAATTAAAGTGAAGATTTGTCATGCTTATAGCACTTTGCAGCTTGACATCAGTCTCTAATACTCTCTTGTGTATTATGACTAAGACTTAACTGAAAAGTGTGATAAGAAATCTTTTGAAACAAAATCACCATTCTTCGTGGGAGAGATGTTATACTTGAGAACAAGCATCAAGTCTGGATAGAAACAAAATAAAACTTTTCTAAAAGTTGAAAGAAGGCAGCATAACTTTTTCCTTTTCTTTTTCCATTATAATTGAATGCAGAAAAAAATTATACTAATTCTCATAAGATTATATATGTCTACCTGTTGTTGAAGAAAGTTAACAGGAAAATCTCACAATGATTAGGTTGCTCCTAAATGGATGTGATGTTTGCCTTTTACCAGTTATTGGGCATCTCATATGACTTTTCAAAGATGACAGAATGGCCACACAATGACATAGAGCGGCTCCCTCAACATGCTAGATACATCCCATCCTGTTGTATCAAACTGCATACACGCAGCTTAACTAACTTTTCCCTTATTGATCCCCCTGTACTAAGGGTAGTATATCTCTTCCTCAAACTTTTCTGCAAGGCATAAAGACCTGGGAGGCATAAGAGCACACCTTGCCTGTAAAGGTTGGGATAGAGAAAGTCCTAAGTGTGTTAGTCCTTTCTGTGTTCCTCATCATTAGGCCACTCACTCCTTTAAGTAGCAGTCCCACATTTTTCTTGGTCTTCGTTTAGTTGCCAGTGTACCTCTGGAAACCTATCTCATTGCCTTTTACATCTCTCAAAAGTTTCAACTCCAGCAACACTCTGGGTTTCATAATCCAATCCATTCATGCCCAAGAAATACTTCCATATTGATCTTGGGAGACTGTCCCTGTTTCCACATTTCATCCTTCTGTATATGCTTGCTTTTTCTATTAGCTGTTAGGAGAACTACTTAGCAAAGAAGAAAATACTTATCCTCTGTTTTCTCCCTGTCATCTTGATTTATCCTCTTTTATCCAATTTTCATAACAAGCAAAAGAAAGCTTTTCATGAAGAGCAATATTTTTAATTAGTTTTAAAATTCATATTGTTTTCATATAAATATGAATAGGGCTTGTATGTTTTCTTTTTTTCGTTAGAGATTAGAATCCTTTCTAAATAAGATCAATATCTTAATGTCTCCAGAAAATGAAACAAAGGCATTGAGCAGCAAAGTCAGATAGACTACACTTAGGTACATAGATCGTTATGAAGGATTAGTTTATAGGTTGCTATCAAACATAACAGTCTGGATCTAACGTTCAGCTCAGGACAACCCTATCTTGCTGACTGAAAGAATCTAGGAAGGTGTGTCACAAAGTTCACTGAAGCCAAGCCTGGTTCTTTACTGTTTCCTAAGTATTTTCTCCTGAGCAATGCTGGAGAAAGAGTGCCGGGCTAGAAATGCTTTTATTCAACTCAGAATAGAAACATCACCATTTTACACCAGCAGAACTCAAAAGGGAAGCCAATTCTCCTAGATCCCCATGTTACGCATTGCTAA